GGTGGTGTGTGGCACCAGCCAGGAGTGACCCAAAACCAGTGGTGTGTCGGGAACGGGAATGTTGAACTGGATGTCTTCCTGGTGGTTGCTGGCGATGGTGAGGCAGAGAGGTGGAGTCCGATGGGTGATCTGGGTCAGCAGTCGGCCGTCGATAGCCTGGGTCTCTATCGCATGGGGAAGCGGTTCGGCGGTTAGGCCGAGTTGCTCCACCAAAGCCGGGTCCATAAGGTTACCCCCGGCTCCAGAGTCCAGGAGAGCATGGCAGGATGACACCTGACCAGCTATCTCCAGGAGCACGGGGAGGAGGCAGCTAGTACCCAGCCTGGTGGAGGTAGAGGAACGGCCTGTCAGTGTCCCCACTATCACTGCCGGGCCCACTCTTTTGGCCACACCAGGCAGAGGGCAATGAGATGTCCAGGAGCCCCACAGTACAGGCACGACCCGTTGCAGATGCGGGAGTGGTATGGTGGATGATACTGGACCAGGCTGCAGACGCTGGGATCACTCCTGGGCTGGTGAAGGTAGGGATGATGGTGGCTGAGGAGACAGGAGCATGTACAGACAGTTAAAGGAGACTGTGCATCGACCTGTATGGTGGAGGCTGGCAAGGCTGAGATGATCCAGGGTCGAGAGGAGCGGTCCGTAGAGGAGGAAAGAAACAGCGGGACGAAAAAGAGGTGCAAATAACACAGAAGACTTGTAACTGGCGTACTAGCACAACAAAGACAACGAGCATAATAGGGGCCTGAAGACGTAGATTCAGCTGGCAGTGGAGTGAACAGTGAGCAGTGTATAAGTATGGAGGGAAACTAACGAGGCGCAGCTGGTGAATAATCAGGGAAGCGTGGCAGGTGTGTCGAATATTGCAATCAGTGCATGGGAGCAGACTAGAGTGAGGAAGGGAAGAGAGGAAGGTGCAGCCGGGCAAACCTGACATTCTCTCTTGTTACAGAAACAAGGAATTAACACACATTCAATGTGTGTTTGTTTTTTTTTTACTTACCGTGAAGTCCCACTGAGTGGTAGAAACATAGCACTGACAATAATATCATGGGTTATTAATCCGCTGGTTAACCATCAACACATCACATGCAGCAGACACACTGGCCTCAAGCAGTGAAAACAAACAGGTACTGTGCTCTGGAGGAATCATGCATTGATGAGTTGATCATTCACTGCCCCAGGGTGCTTCACTGGCCGACTGCTTGTAGGTTAGACCTGGTCAGGTAAAACAGCGAGTCCCTATACGTGAACATTCCCGGACATGCAGTAACTTCAGGCCCTGTATTTTTCTCCACATCTTCTGGTCACAGCGCAGCAGCAGGAGGGAAAATATATCCACAAAACCACCTGCAGTCGAAAAATCCCGCTTTTACAGTGGCACTGGTGGATGTCAGCCAAGCTCACATGAACATGCAGCTGCATGGAGATTATGACCAGTCAAGGAAATCCTATCACATAATACTTTATTTTGTTCGAAAAAAGCGAGAGTTCTTGCAAGCGAGAGTTTGAGATGTGTATAAACTGAGTTGCTTCTGCACAGAAGTACAACAACATATGTACACCTCATGTTTTGAGCTTTAGGTCATGTCTAAGATGATAATTCACTGTTATAGCATTGTAGATAAGTCAGAAAACAAGGAAACCCTTGTATATTACTTGTATATTAGCAATTTCATAACATTACAATTTTATCTAAATATATCCAACATTTTTCAAAATTAAGGTGAAAAAAATGAAGTCATACTATAACTATCTTTATCATTAGGTATTATTTCAACCTTCTACCTACCTGAAAGGGATTGTGCCTCTGTGTTTGTAAGCTCGGCCACTGACTGATCTCAGAACTTCAGTTCTTTCTCTGTTGTTTTTTTGTAATTTCTAAATTTCACTTTGTTTCATGTCTGAATGAATCTTGATGTTTTTACAGTAAATATGAAACTAGTGCTGGCAACAGGTTAGATTAACAAGGCGTAAAGAATGGAAACAAGTAGAAACAGCTACCTTAACTGTGTGCAAGCTTAGCAAAAATTGACCTGGCAGGATCTCTAGAGATTACTAATTAACACACTACATTTTACTTTGCTTGTTTAATACAAAGCCAAAAATGTAAAAGCATGAAGTTGCAGCTTTAAAGCAGACTCAGTCTGTTTCCACTTCATTCCACCAGCCTGTTTCATCTCTTTTTGCTAAGCAAAGCTAAAATAAAAACTCCAGGGTTATCAAACTTCTCATAATTAAAAATGAATAAGAAAATGAGAAAGAATAAAAAAAATATTAAGTATGTTTCCCAGAGTATGTTGAACTATTGCTTTAAGATCTCTTTTCATTCTTCAGGCCAGGACAGGAATTGTCATGAACATCATTGGCATCTTTTGCATCACACTGGCCATTAACAGCTGGGGCA